GTGTTTCTAGCTCAGAATGTCTGACGAAGGAAAGCTGTTTGTCGGCGGCCTGAGTTTCGATACCACCGAACAGTCGCTAGAGGACGCCTTCTCCAAATATGGCGTCATCACCAACGGTAAGTAGCCAATCATTGACGCGCTGTGTTGCCGCGCTGCTTCTGATTGGTTCCGGCGTTGACTGCGATTTGCATAAGCCGCTCATTATTATAATGTCTGTTTTCAGTTCACGTGGCCAGAAACCGAGAAACCAACAGATCCAGAGGATTCGGTTTCGTGACCTTTGAGAATCCAGACGATGCGAAGGACGCACTTGAAGGAATGAATGGAAAGGTTCGTTACGGAGTCGCTTGTTTCCATTTGGGTTCAAATTGGGGGTTCAGGCTCTTTTTAGGGAGTCGGTTCATTTGACTCGGTTCAGCAGCACGAACCGACTCCCAAACGGCTCTGAGTTTAGTTCCACTTCTGGCTTTTATGATTAAGCCAAATTCAATAATTGTCATCTAAATTATGCAGTGTATAATTGCTGAACCTTATTTCCAGGATTTATTTTCCTTATTTTTTGGTATTTGAAGGCCAGAATAATTTGCAATAAAACATGATTGAGTTTTTTTTTGTGTATAAACCTGAATAGTTTGATACAAAAATCTGAATGTATTTTGTAAAACTATTGGTACAATATTATTTCTAGTTTTTGTACTTGGAACCTGAATAATATTGTATAGAAACATGAATGTATGGTGGGAAGAAAATTGACTCAGTTTTTCACCCTGAATGTATGAGAACTAAATAATAATGTGCAAAAAGCATCACCATTTATTTAGTTTATAAGGGGTGTAACTGATGACATGTTTCGGTAGGGACAATTTTAGATATTTTTTAACCCAGCTCAAAGATGCTAATCAGCACATGGTTAGCTAGCACAGTTCTAAACATGTAAAAATTAAATGTTATGGAATAACTCTCAAAAAAAAGTGCTTAATTTTAAGAAATTGTGTTCGGTAGTGACTTTCCTTAAAGTTAGTTTTATTTATTTTAGACTTGAACATTTACCTCAATGCTGTGACCCATCTACTCGCACCTCGTAGCTATAAGAGGAATATTTGCTGATCATAAATGCAGGGGTGTGGTTAAAATCCGTCTTGGCCAATAGACTAAAACAGTAGTGACATGAGAAATATGGGACTTTTTATATACATTTTATTTATTTATTTATATATATATATATATACACGTGGTTTCATAATTTACAAAAAATATTTAAAAAATTGAACTACTTTTTAAAAACCTAAAAGATAAAATAATTTTTCATAAGTTGAAATTTAGGGGTTAGGGTTCGGAACCGCCACCTCCCAATTGAAAGTACCCAATAAATGATTTTATATATACTAAGCTTACATTAATTTGAAATATTATTGTGGGTTTCAATAGATAATAGAATGATCTTAAATGTCTAAGATTTGAGAACTGAAATGCATTTTAAATGTGTCTTTTGGTTTTTAAATATTAAAACTGTCTTTAGAACTCTCTCATTGTGGTCACATGACGATATGAAACTATACGTCTTCCGGGCAAAAGGTGTAGTTTAAAATTTTAACTTATTCTAACATTAAAGGTCTCGAGTTGTGTTTTGGGCCATTATGCTTTGACAGTATGTGAAACGAACTAAAACCGACAGCACACTCGCTTAATCCCTTAATTTATTTTAATTTTATTTAATAACATTGGTCATTCACACGCGGCCAGGGGAGTGTCCTCAAGTTGTGCTGGAGTCTCTGGTTTATTTCCACTCGCTGGATGTTTCTGACGCTGTGTTTCGCTGTAGTCTGTGGACGGCCGGACGATCCGTGTGGACGAGGCTGGTAAGGGTGGTGGCGGTGGAGGCCGGTCCGGCGGTGGATCCTACAGAGGTGGAGGAGGACGAGGAGGTGGAGGAGGAGGCTTCTTCAGAGGAGGACGAGGAAGAGGAGGTTCGAGAGCTGCTGCTCTGTCAGCAGTATTATGTGATCCTCAGATTCAGGTTTTTTGGTTGTCTAGTTGATAAACTCTGTGTTGTGATGTCTTGCTCGTTGAAGGCGGAGGCGGCTATGGAGGTGGTGACCGCAGTTATGGTAGTGACCGAAGCTACGGCGGCGGTGGCTATAAGAGCGGAGGAGGAGGATACTCCTCTGGAGGAGGCGGAGGCTACAACAGAGACAGGTGTGTGTTCCTGCAGATGCGCAGCACCATTCAGTGCGTCTTTAGATTGCAACAAAAATAGTATAAGCTTTAATGTGAAGTACTTATGCAAACATCAGAACACCCAATAACCGCTTAATCTTTTGTGTTTTATTCAATAATGGGTGTTTAAAACACATGCAATTGTCACTACTTAAAAAAAAAAAAAAAAAAACTTTATTTGGACAACTTTAAAGATGATTTTCTCAATATTTAGATTTTTTTGCACCCTCAGATTCCAGATTTTCAAATAGTTGTATCTCAGCCAAATATTGTCCTATCCTAACAAACCATACACCAATGGAGATATTATTTATTCAGCTTCCAGATGATGCATAAATCTCAATTTCAGAAAGTTTACCCGTATGACTGGTTTTGTGGTCCAGGGTCACATGTAGCTTTTTTTTATTTATTTTTTTATTATTAGTATTATTAACCTGCTGTTAACCTGCTGCTTTCTTGTTTCAGGAGTTCTGGTTATGGCGATCGTGGCAGCTCTTACAGAGATGGTTATGATAGTTATGGTACGTATTAGTTTGCTCCGCTCTGAAATCCCCGTATAAGCATGTCGGCTGTGCTCGTGTCGCCGCGGACGAGTCAAACCGGCTTTTCTAGAACTGTGGGGTGAGTTAGTCACGAGTCAGTTTAACTACGTACCTTTGTTTTCTTTGTTCTTTTTTTTTGTATGCATATAATAAACCTTAAAATGCTTTGAAATGGCTCAGTTTTAATTTGGATTTAAAGTTTCCGGCCACATAATTGGACTCGTCACATATTGCAGAGAATCTGAGTAGAGTCGTGAAAGCCCAAACGCAGGACACTCAAACCCTGATCGTCCACGTCTGCCCGGTTGCTCTCCAAATCCAGCCCGGTCGATCTCATGTTTGATTAGTGGGTTAGTGGAGGGGTTGTCTGTCTTAAACCTGTTGAGATGCTTGAGTGTCTTCATGTGTGATACTTCCTCCTCAGCTGTACACGAGTAAAGCCCAAGACCCGACGCGTCAGCGGCCGAGCGTTTCTAAAGACTCATGGATCTGTTCTTGGATTTGTTGTAGCTGTTCTCCCTGTTTCTGTTCTGTTCTTGTATTCTGAGGGAAAGGCCGCTTTCTGTTCACCGGCTGTGAATGAATGAATGAATGTCTGTCGATGGGTTCCTCTCCTGCCTCGTTTGATTCCTTAAACTCATCATCCCGAGCCTCACTGTCATGTTAGCGCTCACCTGTGCTTCTATGGGGAGTCCAGAGAGCGTTGGCTCTCCTGTTTATGTTACTGATGCGCAGCCGCTGTCATTACGAGCACGGCTCCTTCTGTTAGCTGTAAGCCATTGATTTGTCCATGTCCCGTATCCAAAAAGTCACTTCCTTTCAGGCTGGTGAGCTGCGCATTGGACGGCTGGCACTGGCGCTGCGGTTCTTGAGCCTTGCTGAGGTATCTGTCTGTCTGTCGCTGCTCCTCGCACCCTGCATTTTAACCATGGACTCTTGACTAATCTATCTATCAATCATTTACTTGAAAGAGAACCAGAAATTGTTAACAGTACACTCCAGAACTGGGAAAGAAATCCTTGTGCTCTTGTTTCCTTTGTATGAAAATTTGACTCACTATTTTGTTTTATTTTTATTTTTTTGCTTTTCAATTGTGGCTTCATGGAGCCTATTAAACGAAACCATTTGTTCAAACGCTTTGAATTCTGTTGTGCCTTTCAAAATCTACAAGATGGGGGATAAACAAGAAATCACTCGATTAAGTGCAGGTCACATTACACAATGATCTTGTTATAAGGAAAGTTGCATTTAGGAGTTATCTAAAATATAATTTAGCACATCTACTGTAGCTTTGTTCTTGCATTGTAGTTCTGTGCTTAGCTGCAGGTGTATAGTTACTTTTAATGCTTTTAAAGAATTAAGTTCTTTAGAGAGGTGTTCATAAAGGGATAGTTCACACACCATGCACAAAACTTAAGTTTCTCAGTCATTTACTTGTAGTGCCAAACCTGATTGAAGAGCGTTGGGGACCAAATAGTTTTGTTTGCGTTCACTTCCATTATATGGCCAAAAAATACAATGGAAGTAAATGGGAACCGAAGCGTTTGGTCGCCAGCGTTTTTATAGATTTTAGACTATTTGGAATAAAATTAGGGCAAGTGCATTTAATTCTTGGGTGAACTGTCTCTTAAATTGTAGCGAGAGTATCCTACAGGTTCAGAAATATGGGTTTAATTTTGTAGCTTTCTGTTGGCTTGGTTTAAATGTGACCCAAATGTATTCTCGACGGGTCAGTCTCTATAAGAATTGAAAGATTTAGCACTGCATGTTATTTCCAATGGGAAGAATAGATGTTTAAAGTCCTGTTAATGTCATGTAAAATTTAATAAATGGTTATAAAAATACAAGTACTTAAATTAACAGCTCAAACATGAAGAACAGCAGAATTCTAAACTGTAGAGTTTGTTTGGCTTTGAAGACTAATTGGGTTTGTTACTGAAGTGTTGCACCTTGCTAACTAAATAGAGTTCAAACATGTTGCACGACTGCCTGTGTCCTCATGATCAAATGGAAGAACTGAGTTTAAAGGGAATAACCTTCACCAGTGCTGCTAGTTAGCTGAGTAGAGTGAGTTATTGAGTGTGTTTCACCCAAACAATGCTTGATTTGAACCCAAGCGCTCTGGATGAGTTTCCTCAAACACGTCCTTGGAGCTTGAAGCGTTGCATCTCCTGAAGTGAATCCTGACTCTGGCTGCTCTGTTCGTTAGCCTGTGTGCGCGAGGTAACCTTCCTTTGCTCTCCTGTTCACTTTAAGTTTAAGTATTTGTAGCTCTGACAGCACAGCGCAGATCTTAAGGCCTCTCAGATGCGTTAAATTCCCACTCATTTCTCCCCATGCATTGCCAACCATTCTAGAAAGACCTTAAATTTAACCTTCAGTGTCTCATCAACACATTTACTTTCACCAATGTAGTTCAATTTGAGAAACGCCAAATTAGTTCCAAAGACACTAGTTAGTTATGCACTGATGTCTGTGATTCCTGCGTTTGAGTGTATAAGTTTAAGTGATCTGTCTTTGGTTTTGTTCAGGTTGAGTTCCCGTCGGAAGCCGTCTGGGGTTTGGAGATGATGAACGGCGTTTGTTCCACTGAAGGTGAAGCGTGAGGTTGGTGGAATGTCTAATGATCTCGTTACTGATTCACTGAGATTTTTTTTATTTATTTACTTATTTAACCAGGAAGGTCCCATTGAGATACAATATCTCTTCTTCTGGGAGTCCTGGTCAAGATGGGCCGCAAACGACAAATAAAAAAATGCACATCACCACACAATGAACAAACAAAACACAATTTTCTAAACAATACAAATCCTAGTCAGGTGTTAAAACATGTACACTGTTTTATATAAATGAAAAAATCGTTATCTGTTGATCTGGTATTATAAATATTTGTGCAGTATGTCAACAAACTAGATGTATACCGTGGTAATTTCCCCACTAAAGCTTTTAAAATAAAAAATAACGTGTTTTTTTCTCAAGCACAAAGAAGTCCAGTTTGTAATTTCATATAAATTACAGTGATGTGTGCGGACACTTGTACCAGTAACAAATCGTAAAGCAGAATGATGAACTACATCCAATTTTTTCAAAACATTCAGAGATGCATGCATATAAATTATATCACCACAGTCCAATACTGATAGAAGAGTACTTTCTACTAAACGTTTACGAGCAACATTTTTTTTAAACGAAAATGTAAACCTAACGCTGGTCTCAATTTCTTTAAAAGACTTATCGATATGAGAGCTGTAAGTCGGCTTATCATCGAGCCAGATGCCGAGATATTTGTAAGATGCAACCCTTTCAATCTGTGTACCATTTAAAGTTTGAATCGTAAAGTCATTTAATGACAATCTGGACCGTGTAAAAATCGTGTATTTAGTTTTTTTAGCGTTCAACACTAATTGTAAGTTACCAAGAGAAATCTGAAATGCATTCTGCCGCTTTTAAAGATGGAGCCATAGTGTAGATTATAGTATCATCTGCGTAAAAGTGTACATTTGCTGGCTCAACTAATTAACCAAGTTCATTTATATAGATAGAGAATAAAATTGGCCCCAAAACTGATCCTTGAGGAACACCGGTCTTCACTATTAAAGGAGCAGAAACATAATTATCTATGGACACGCATTGAGTCCTTCCAGTCAAATAATTAGAGAACCACTTCAACAATATATCACTAAAACCTACACATTTAAGCCTTTGCAACAAAAGATCATGATTCACAGAATCAAATGCTTTCGATAAATCAAAGAGTTCAGCACATGATTTTTTTTTTTTATCATCCAATGCAGTTATTATATCATTAGTGACTGGCATTGCAGCAGTTATAGTACTATGTCCTTGTCTAAAACCTGATTGAGTCTGACATAAAATATTATTAGCTGACAAATAGTACTTTAACTGTTCATTTACCATAGATTCTCACACTTTAGCTGTAACAGACCATCTTGAAATAGGCTGATAATTATCCAATACCCTTCAGTAATGGCCGAATAATTGCAGACTTCCAAGAACTTGGTATCAGACCACTGCTTAAACTTAAATTAAAAAGAGGCAATAGGTCTCGCTATTAAGTCTGCAGATATTTTTTAAAAGTAAGGCTCTGTTTGATCAGGGCCAGCAGAGTTTACAATATCAAGGCTTTATGAACCTGAGACGGGGAAATAGGTAGAAAATTAAAAACATTTCTTTATACAACTTGAAGAGATGGCCATATTATCTTTACCATCAAACCAGATGAAGTGATTGAACTTGTATTAGTAAAATGTGTATTAAAAGCTTCTGCTATATTATATTTATCCTTAATTTCTTCATTATTTACCTTTAGTAAATCGGGAGTCTGCATAGACCCGGTTGACGATTTTATCAGCTTCCAAAATTTACTAGGATCATTAAAACTTTTATTTATCATACTAAGATAATACTGACTTTTTGTATTTTTTTTATCATTTTGGTACATTTAATCCTTAGTGCTCTATATTGTTCCCAATCACTAGCGCTATTAGTTCTTTTAGCCTTGGTCCAAGCAATATTTTTATAACATATCACATACATGGAAAACCTCACTATTATACAAGTCATGTAAAAAAGCTTGCTCACTAAAGTTTTTAGTTTCTTCTAAAAATAAACTTAGACATATATAGGTAGCACTGTACAATGATCACTTGCATCATTACTAAATATTCCAATGGAAGAATACTTGTGGAGAATTTGTAAGTGTAACATCAAGCAATGTAGACTTGGCCATATGTCTTGAATTTTGATTTTGAATGTCTTGAATTGAGGTTTTACAAAGGCTTGACCTGTGTTTTGTGATCTGATCTGGTTTCTAGTGTAGATGATGGAACGATGGGCTGAAGATGAAACCGAGGACCTGCTGTGATTGATGGAGGTTCATGTTTAGTCATTTAACAGATGCTTTTATCCAAAGCGACTTACAAATGAGGACAGAAGCAATCAAAATCAGCAAAAGAGCAATGATATGTGACCCTGGAGCACAAAACCAGTCATAAGGTTCAGTTTTTTAACTCCTGTGCAGTTGAAAACCCTGTAACGCCTCTGGTTTTCCTGCTCAGACATGACCGTGATGATGTTTTATAATCACCAAATACTGGATCTGGCTTGTTTTCTTTCAGTTAGCAGAGGTTTAGTGTTCTCTTCTGGAGCTGTTTGATCACAGGCCTCAGGAACATTACTTAATGCATTAACTAACAGTGAGCAATGCATTTCTTACAGTATTTATTCATCTTTGTTAATAAAAATCCACCTGTTCGTTGTGAATGATTTCAGGCTAGCAATCTCAACAGATACAAGTTTTGATTTTAAAACTGCATTAGTACATGTTGAAATTAATGATTTAGAAGAATTTTTATTTTATGTAAACTAATTGAAGTTTGTTGTGTTTCCTAGGTTTCACTGATCTGAGCTTATGCTGTTTGTAAATGAAGAAAACATGTTTTTGTTTATAATTTTGACTTAATAAAATTTGAACGCTCACACTGGTGTGCTTTAATCAGGTTTGTTTTGAAACGCTTTTATTTTGTTCAAAATGGCACAGTCACACAGCAGTCTAAAATGACCGGCCTACAAAAAATAGCTTATGAATTTCTCATCATGCTGTATTAAAACCAAATATTGGGATTACATTTTTTTTTCTAAACTTGTTTGCCATCAAATAGGAGAGAGTTTTGTTATTTTCTAAACTAATAAAATAGTCTAGTTTAAGAAAAAGCCTTTTTTTGCAAATCTTTAAAGGATTAGTTCACTTCCAAAATAAACACTCTCCACTTGTTCCAAATCTGTACGAGTTTCTTCTGTTAAACACAACCGAAGATGTTTTGAGAAATGTTGACGAGCACCATTGACTTCCACAGTAGGCTGATGGCATCAATGAATGGACTTTAACTGGAAAAATGACTCTTCGTAACTGTCCTCTTGCATTATTGACAAACTATTTTCCTGTCGACACTGTAAAGCTGCTTTGACTTGATCAGACTTGTATGAAGCGCTTTATAAAGATGACTAGTAGGGGACAATACTGTGGAAGTCAATGGTGCTCATCAACTGTTTGGATACCAACATTTTTCAAAATATCTTCATTTGTTTAACAGAAGAAAGAAACTCAGATTTGT